CACAGCACAAATGGATGGGCCAAAGGGAGATAGACAGGTTTCGGACATAATTGGTGGCATAAGGACTAAAGGAAATGGGGCACAGAGCATCATTTAACTCAGAAATTACTTTGCAACCCAAATGCTGAGAGGGAGCTGGTCACCTGCAGTTGTTTTTACATTTCCTACTGAGAACTCTTCCAAAAGGTTAATCCACCAGAAAACAGGAACCCCACATATAACTGAGACAGCAGACTGCTTAAAAATGATTCAATCCTTCTTTCAGCAGGTTACAAGCTCAGTTTAAAAAGGCCACTAAGATGCTAGAAGGTATACATCTCTGTTTATGTCTCTCCAAGCTACAAACTGGGGCTGCGGTCATGCACTGGTAAATGCACCCATATAATTTTCCATTGCACAAAAGAGCACATCCAATTCAGGTGCCAAATTTTATAGTTGCCTATTATAAAATACCACAGGCTTAATAAATACTGACATGTAGAAAGCCAGGAGGAGAGCAATGAATGAACTACATGTTTTTCCAATTTACACTTTACTATGGAAAACAGAGGAAAATGTTCAGAGGAAAAAAAAAAAAGTTAAGATTTTAATGTTCACTCACGTATCAGGGTAAGTATGTGGACACTTGACCCACAGATCAACTTTGGCGTATACTTCATTATCACCAGTCAATCCCTGAGGACGTAGAACTAAATTAATTTCAGGAGGTTGTTGCACCTGAAATGGAAAACAAAACTTTAGATTTAAAGAGCTTTTCTGGTTTCGTTTTAATGACAGCACACAACTCTCAAAACCTGTATTATGACAGAATTCAGGTTAGACCATCCAAACTGAGAAAAAAATACATTAATACATAGCAGTACATTATCAATACATAGCAGTATTGATACTGCTCAATGAGAGTGAACTGGTTCACTGATTATCATATTTTATCCAACATATTTTTAAAACTTTCTCAGAGAAGTGTAGTTAGTTATTAGAAGATTCAGACTGAGCATTTTATAACAAACCCCTTGTATTCTGCTTACTGTAGGCTAGTAGTAGGAAAAAAAAATTAAAAAATGGTTTACTTATGGAATATCACTAATTAAAGCATTCATTGTAAGAACAATATTGTTTCTTTTGTGTTTGTTTTGGATGACTAGCAAACACCAGTCGGTATTTTAGTTTCTCACATGGCAATAGACTGTAACATCACATATATATACACCTTGTGCGGTCAAACAAATGCAGAGTAATATTTTGCATTTATATTTTTGGGTTTGGAATGAAACAATGAAACAGAATTTTAGCAAGCCCTTGCCCTTCCCCCCCCCCCCCCTTGCTGTTCAACTGCCTACTCAAAATCAGAATAAAGTAATACATGCCCACATAAACATTCTAAACTTTTTATTTTGTATTAAAGACTTCAAAAAAACAAAACAACCCAGACCTTATTAACATGACAAACAGGCAGGGAAGTAAGACCACATGTAATAACAAATACTGAAACAGGTTAAAAGACAGTCACTATACCCCTATTTCCCTTCCATCAGGGAAAAGAACAGGTAAAGTCAAGAGAACATCAGGTATGAACTTAATAGGGAATGAGGTGTGCAACACTTCTGAAAACCCAGCGAATTACCGTGTTAGTATCAAACTCCGTGTGTGTGTCTCTGCATAGGTTTTGCAAGAATTTAAACTTCAGGTTTATGGCAGAAAAAAAAAGACAGCAGGGGCTATTTTGTAGAAACGGAAGACAAAAGAATGTAAATAGGCCAGCAGCAGTGAACTTGGGGAACTGAAAAGAATGATCAGTACCTCCAGGTACAGGAAAACAGTGCCACAGATGCAACTGGAAAAAAAATATCAATTAGACATTGTGGACACAGAAATGTGAAAGAATAGCGAGTAGTAGACCTGAGCATTAGTTAGTTGTAATAAAACAAACAGAGCCCAAAACAACAAACAGAAATATATGAAAGCTCTCATTAAAACAGACACAGTTTGAGTAAACCACAGCATGTAATAAATATGTGAAGATTAGCAACATATATACGGATGAGATTAACTAATTAAGCAGGTATGCACTTGGTTAAAGGATGAATTAAGTGGCAATGTTTAAAGAATCTCATTTAAAACGCAAGTTACATGCACAACATTAATTACAGCGCGAAGGCACCAATCTGGAGGATTAACTGCAAAGGCAGTCGGTTACAGGGCTGTCTGCCGAAGCGGGGAAGGGCCAGGGCCAGGCAGAGAAAGGAAAGATGCGCCAGGCGAGAAACACGAGGACCAGGCACCAGCTGGAGCACCACCGCCCTCCGCAACCCGCAGGGAGAGGGCCCACTCTGCTTGCTTCGCCGCTGGAGGCCGGAGCCCTGGCGCTCTAACGATTAATGGGCACAGGAAGCGCTAAGGGAGAACAGCGGCAAGGCCGCCGAGCTCGCAGCTGCCTGGCGAGGGGAGCCCCGCTCGCTACCTTCCAGGCCTGGCTCTGCCGCAGATCCTTAAAGTCCTGCCCGTAGATGGACTCCAACACCTGCAGCTCGTTCTCCTGCCGCAGCTGGTAGCTCTCCGGCGGCTCCGCGGCTACCTGCACAGGCAGCGGCTGGGCGCCGCTCGCCCGGGCCATGTCAGCTCCCCGGGCGTGAGCGGCAGGCAGCCATCGCGCACAGCCCCACCGCACTGCCTCCGTGGAAGTGGAACCGGCCCAGCGAAGGCCTTGCTCTGCCGCGCCCCGGCACCGCCTCCGCGGCGACGGGGGGAGGAGGAGGAGGAGGAGGAGGAGATTGGGGGGCTGGGGCCTTGTGGTGCGTCCGGGAGCGGTGGCTGCGGGAAAGGCCAGGACCAGTTCCTGGTGTGGTGGGGTGGCGGCTGCCTCGGCCGTGTTCCGTTAGCCCCGGACCGTGCAGGGCTGTAGACAAGACCACTCTTGGCGGCTTTCCTGGGGCTCTGCCACCCTCTGAGGGACCGCGACATGTTGCATAACTCGTGTCCACTCATGGTCCCATCTGCCTCCTGCAAAAGCACCATCTTAGCTGCCTAGGCCCAGAGCAGCAGTGCCTGAGAATCGTAAAATTATCTTGAGTTGGAAGAGATCCATGAGGATTATCAAGTCCAATTCCCTGCTCTGCACAGGACTATCTAAAACTAAACCATGTAAGTAAAAGCATTGTCCAGACACTCCTTGAGTGACAGGCATGCAGCTGTGACCACTTCCCTGGGGGAATCTGGTGACCAACCACCCTCTTGGTGAAGACCCTTTTCATAATGTCCAGTCTGAACTTCCCCAAGATATGCCTCAAGATGTATCTGCAAATACAGAGACAGGCACCAAATACTGCACGGATTTTTTTAAATACACCTTGAGAAATATTTACAAAGGGGGGAAAAAAAAAACCACAAAATTAGTAATGGATTTCATATAGAGCTGGGGCAGGATACAAGTTCATGTGGAAACTACAACATGTTTTCACTGATGATTAATTTAACAACTACTGGGAGGTTGAGCATGAACAGCCTTAGCCTCTTCCTTGGTGAACTGCAAACACGAAGCTAGGTAAGCAGATGTGTTTTTCTTCAGCCACTGCATGTGGCAACTTCTGAGCAGAAGGACTGCCACAAGATGTAGTCTTTAGTTTTGGGATCTTAATGAAAAACCTCTAAGTAAATTCATACACACAAGCTTATTGATTAGGTGTGTAATCCCCAGGCAAAGAAAAATGCTGCAGTAATCTGTAGTTTGCTACTGTGCACCCATACACAGTACTTCCATTTGTTAGGAAATGAAGGAAACAAGTGTGGTCCACTGGAACTGAACGAACTGAATTGTTTTCCTTCTGCCCTACCAGGATTCCCACTAATAGTTATATTATCTTTCTTCTAAAGATCAAATTCCCTCATCTGAATTGAAAACAATGTAAGTTTCAGAGACATACTTGCAGTATTTTAGATCTGTTTCAGTATAATAAACTCAATTTTTCTTTACTTTTGTAATTGCATGAAAAAAAAAATCTTCTTATGCTTCTCTTTAATTACAAGGTTTCTCCCAATGGAGTTCTAGTGATCTTTACTCCCTGACCTAGGAGTACAGACTCCTTGTTTTAAATAGACCACTTAAGGAGGGACTTACTCTAATGAGTAGTTTCTATAGTCCTCAGTTTCTCCCTCTGAAGTTGACATCTTGTTAATGCATACTTTCATTTATCTTTGCATTTCACTTAAACTCTTAGGGTTCCCAGCTGGGTTCATAACTAATATAATAACTGGCAGTTTCATAATGTCATTAGCATCCAACAAAAACAAATCTTCAACTGTGTCACTGTTCTCTGTTCCTCACCACGTCTGGGAATGCCTGGAATGTGCCTTTAGTAATGTTTTTGTTTCTTTTCTTTTTTTTTGTGGGAGATGGCATGAACAAAGCTCTGTAGTATTTATCTAACCACAACAGAGATCTCCTTTTGCACAGTCACAGGTGACCTGGGGCACTGTAACTGTCCACTGAAGTTTCTTGCATCTTCTTAGAAGTAACTGCTGTATTTGACTTATGGGTGCAGTTGGGTATTTTTCATCCATCGATTTGTTTAGGTGTTTTCTCTGTAGTGAAGACTAGAAATAAAAATACCTAGGCCACAGATTCATCTTGTCTCCTACCAGAAGACATGGCAAGAATGGCCAATTTGAATATATGATGCAGTAAATAATTAAGAAACTTCTGTAAATTTTTCTTTAACAGAAATTATGAGTTTATACTTTCCAAGCACATTGTGTGAGGCACACAGCCCAGCATATGGCAAACTTCCCCGTGTCAGTTTGCATAACAATGGGAGGGTCAGGTAACATTATGCATTAAAACTCCCCCACTGTTCCTGTTCTTTGTGACTTGGCAAAATTTTAAACAGTTGGGATGAAATGTTCTAGACCAGATGTCTACCCCAGGCTATTTTTTTCTCTCTTTATTTCTTCCACAGTGATTTATTGTTTCCAAGAAGACAGCCAGAGACAAGTAACTTCACAAAAAAAAAAAATCACAATCATTTATTTTAAAAAGTCTTGTGCCCCAGCATAAGTGTGAAAATTTGGTAGGTGATGGGGAAGAGACACCTTTTTCAGGGCTGTGGCTTTGCTAGCTAGCCTTGAGAAAACCTGCACAAAGGAAACAAAAATAGATTATTTAGGGAAAAAAAGATAATCAAATACTCTGCACAGATCTCCTGGAGTACTGCGAACACCACTGAAGAGTCTGCCTGCACCAAACACGTGCATCTCGACAGAAGCTTCCCTTCCAAAACTTTCATATCTCACATTAAAATTTAATACTAGCCACTAAAATTTAATGATGTGAGATGTTACAGTGCGCTTTCACTTCCGCCTGTGCGTAGGGAGGGGAGGTTAGTCTCCCCTGGTGAGCTGCAGGAGAGTGGGGAAGGGACCCAGAGGGAGAAACTGAAGGAAGGGGCTGTCCTGTAAAGAAAAGCACCTCGCAGGTGGCTGGGAGGTGGGCAGGAGGTCAGAGTGGCCAAAATGGCCACAGGAATGCTGGGGGTCTGAAAGGACGAAGACAGTTTGGGAGGCCTAGGAGACAAAGATGAGAGGAAAGCAGGGTTATAGCTGCTGGCTTTTGCTTGGGTAAGGTGGGGAAAAAGATGGGACTGACTGGACAAAGTGAATGGCTTGTGAGCAGGTGTGAGAGGAAAAAGCAGGGGAGTGAGTCAGGATGTGAACATGGAAGAGATAGGAATTACCAGAAAAGAGCCTGGAGCAATGAGCCGGGAGATTTACACTCCCAGAGGAGGCTGCAAGTGTAGAGGCTGCAGCACCTGTAGTGTGATAGGGTGGTGGCAGCCTTCATTTCCCTGTAGTCAGCACACGTCTCTGAACCCATGGCAGAGCATTTGGCTCTTCCCTGTATCATCGAAGTCCACATAACAGGAGACAGCACACAGACCACAGAAGTACATTCTATCAGTGTGGGTCCTTGAAAGCCTTGGTGGGCAGGGGTTATACTGGTGGGCAGTTGCTCGTCCAGAGGGCACGTCTACATTGCCAGCCAATGCCTGAAAGGCCTTTTGCTGCTTAACCATCCACCTAAAATCTTCAAATTTGTACTCACTATATGGATGCAGGTATACTTCTTGCACAATTAAAACCCAAATTTACTATGCCTATAAAGAAGCTTACCCGATAAAATATGTATTTAAAAATATTTTAACAAATAGCACGTATAAATCTGCACTGCCTTTTGAAATTCTTTCCTGAGGTACTTACCTGTGCTCTAACACCGCTGGACTCCGGATGGTGCCTGCCCACACGAACAGAAAGAGCTTCCCCACAGCACCGCCCTGCTCTGCTCAGCTCAGCCCTGCGCCCGCCACCGCGCTGCCCACCAAAATGTCGGCCCCGTTGGCTGCCGCGGCCACGTGATGGCGGCACCTCCGCCCCCTGGAAGCGTGGCGGAGGTGGGAGATCGGCGATCCGCCCTGGCCGCTTGGCTCCGCCTGGCCAGGCCACCGCCTCTTGCGGGTGGTGGGGCTAGGTGGGTCTGCGCAGTGTGGAGCGGTGGGGTCGTGTAGTTGAGTGCTTGGGCCGGGATGCTGGCGCATATACGGGCAGGGGTGTTACCGCCGGCCGTGCTTGGTGTGGGGCGCGCTGAGAGTGGGGCGCGCAGAATCGTACGGAGGCTTTTCGGTTTGTTGGAGGCTCGAGTGCCCCCCGCCTTGGGGTTCAAAACCAAATTAATTTAACCCGAGAAATAGCTGGAGTGCAGCGGAAGTCATTGAACAGTCACTGGCTTCCCTGGGCTCCGTATAAAGGTCTTCTTGGTGTCCAGTGTCGCGCAGACTGAGGAGGAACGCGGGACGGAGTCGTGTGTCACCACGGGAGGAGTGGGCAGGAGAGAAGAGAGCGCTAGGAAATGTGCCACGGGGCAAAAGGTGTCCTTCCTCCCTCAGGGCTGTGAGAAAAGCTAACGTCAGGGCAGAGAGCGGAGCGGGGACAGCGCTTGTGATCCATCAACTTTTCCTGACTGATTTCAGTGTATGGGAAGTCCATGTGCCTGCGAGTGTGTACGCTGTGGTGCGAGACGACCTTCTGGCGGGGTGAGCTGCGGTGTGGACTGTGATTTTCTCATGCACGTTTATTGCAGTAAACCATGCTGAGGAAACGCTGTGGCATTGTGAAGCAAGAAATATGGGACAGCTAATCGCAAGGAGGAGCCTGCTTTTTCTGTTTTCCTTTACCAGTTACCGTAGTTTACAAAGTGAAAACGTGAAAAGCCAACCCTGCTTTCTGGCACACAGGAATACGGTGAAGATGTCTCCAAGTGTGAGAGACAGGGCTTTGTCCTCAGAAGTGCCTTTTTGCTCGTGGGCTGCAGTCAGTCGCTGAAGCCAGGGGCTCGGTAACCTGTGAGTATTAGGTGTCAGCAGGAAGGCAGGACCTTCGCCATGGGGTACAACAAAAGCTGGATTTCGAGGAATGAAAGCGAGCATCCCCCGTACCAGGCTGTCACCGGAGCCCTGGAGATGAGGAACGCCTCGGCTGGGCAGATGGTGTGGCAGGGTGGGAACAGCAGCCAGGCTGGGGCTGCTGAGAGCGAGGAGCACGGCGAGGAGCAGACCTACAGGCATTTCACTACCACGGTGCAAATCGTCATCTTCGTAGGCTCTTTGCTGGGTGAGTGAGTGTTGGCTGGAGTTTTTTGTTGATGTGGTTTGTGTATCATTATGGCCAGGGACTGCAGACGAAATGGTGACCAGCATAACTTCCTTCTGTAGTGACCCTTCTTTCTGTGTTTTAGGCCCTCAGCTGTATGATTTCATGTTCTTTTTTTTTTTTTTAATGTGTAAAAACTATTACTATAAAATTCTATTAATCACAGCTGAGAACTGGTACAACATACGTTTGTATTACTTTGTAAACTTTTCTATCACAATTTAAATGGGCAAAATTTAAATGCATTTATTACACCTTTAGTTTCAACTGTAGGGGGATCTGTTCTCTAAAGAGATAGGGTGTGAAGTGTTTTAAACAAGTTTTACTCAATTTCTGTTTCACAATGCAGAAATTCTGTGTTTGTGTCCTGCAGATTTTAAATTAATCCTTTGGAACTACTTTATGCTGTAAAAATGTATAACCATGTGCAATCTTGCCATCTTGCCTATTTGTTATCCTTTAAAGTAAGAATCATACACTTTAGATATGGGGTAGTAAACTAGTAATATATTGCCAAATAATTTTACAGATATGTGTGTATTTGCTTTCTCGATGCTTATAGCATGTTGTTTTATCAGGAATACATATGCATTTCTTACAAAAAGCAAAATAAGCCCTTTGGTGAGTCAAGTTAGTACTGTTCAGGAGATCAGTAAGTTGGGTTTCAGTAAAATGCTGCTACTATCTAAATCATTTAAAGCTGGTTACTGGAAATTATGAGGCTTTTCACACAAGGCTTGACAAAGAAAGTCTCCAGCTCTCTTAGGACAGTTCAGTAGGACTTTACTGATGGTCACTGGCTCTTATCATCAAAGATTTGTTTTTGTTTTTTCTGATCTTGAGTAATGCTAAAATCCATTTCTGTGGTCATGGTAATTAATTGTAATATCAATTTCTTCTTGGCAATATTTAACATCACAAATAATTCCTGGTAAGTTGGTAAGCATAGTCTTGGAACAGCATTGGGCACAGTCAGTGGTATGCTTACTGCTTGTTACTGTAAATCACAGACTTTTCCTCAATTCCTCTGCCCAGTGCTGGTAATCCTCTTGGTTCTTGCTTTTTTTTTTTTGTATTTAGCACATAGATGGTGTGGGGAAAGAGCTCTCTTTGAGTGTTTGGTAGTGCCTGGCACAAAATGACAGCCAGCAGATAGCATCCTAAAAACTAACAAGATTAGATGAGAAAAGACAGAATTCATTCATATTCTTCATTCTTTGGGGTTTGAGCCATAAGAACATATATCTGGGTCATGTGTCCAGACTTGCTTTCATGAGCATGGATCTTCCAGTTTTATTTGAAGAAGAAAACAGACATTGTGATGTAATCATACTTTCAGCAGCAGGTGTTCTTGAAAACTAACCAACCAGTCAACAAATACCATAGGTATAAATTTTACAAGATGACTGTAAGTCATGGTTTGGCAGTCCTGCAATTTGCTTTCAAGAGGTGGACTCTCTGAAAAGAGGGTTTATGTGCAGGTTGGATGGCTGGGAGGTTGATGAAGCTTCCAGATCAGTAGCTTCTCCAGGCCTACGAAAGAGCAAAACAGGAGAGGAAGTGATGTATTTTTAAAATACGAAAATGCAGCGTTCCAATGACAAACATTAGCAGCAAGCCTCGTGAGTTTACAGGGATAAACAACAGTTTTAGTTTTTTTTTTCAAGCTGCCTTGTTTTCCAGTCTCCCTGCTGTCCTGAAACACTATTTTGACAATATTTATGAGACGTGCTATTGTAACACCTTAAAACTTAAGAATCTTTACACATGACTTCCTATATCATCTCTATTCCACCTTTACTGAATGGAAACAAAGCCATGAAGAAGCTAAAGTCTTGATCTCCAGGTCTCAGGGTTTCTGCGCCTGCATGCTCAACCCTCATATGTGGCAGAAGTTTTGCTTGTGCATGTGCTGCATGCTATCTCCTGCATCAGCAAGGGGGAAGAACTTGATATTCACCTGATGCTTATGGTTGTACAAGCCATTATTTAAGTTTTCCTCTTCATTTGTTCTCTGCCATGATCCTTAGAATGTGGGTGATGTCCAGCTCTTTTCTCCGTCAGGTGAGCCCTTCAGCTGAGCTGCAAAAATAGTCCAGTGAGTCTCAAGTTTGCCTTTGCAGAGGGGAAACCCTTCAAGGGGAATTAGGACTATCCTTCCTCCTAAAGAATGAGGTGGATTTGAATGCTTTCTAGTTTGGGTGGTTGTGCAACTTACTCATTCCCACAGTGTTAGTGTGTGCCCAAGCCACTTTGCTATTGGATAGAACAGCACTACCCTTTTAAAAGGAAGAAATAATTTGTACTTCTGCCTTGAAAGGGAACAAACATCTATGTCTTAGTCTTGATAATGGACACTGGGGTCTGACATAAGCAGCAGTCTACACCACAAAGAGGTCCAGGTCCTACAAGAGGGGGAATCATAGTTGGTGTTGTGAATTTAATTTTGGTTCCTGCTGTGCAGAAGGATGTGATAGTGATGGTTGTGAGAGAGATGCATGTTATACTGTGTTTGTTTACTTTGCAATACATCAAAAGTACATCCTCAGTTATTTTAGGTAGCATTAATAATGATACTAGATTCTAGAATTTCTATTTATCTATAAAAGGGATTACATAGTTGTCACAAGCTTGCCAAAGCTTGAACCTGGATGTGACATGTATATCAGAGGATTTAACTGGTAGAACCAACCAAAAGTACCAAGAAGAGGCTAGTTAACTGGCAGATTGTTTTATTTTTGTTCTTGTGGTTTTTTTTTTGTTTTTTTTTTTTTTGTTTGTTTGTTTTTTTTATTTGTTTTTTTAGGGTTTTGTTTGGCCTAATTTAGTGAGAGCTTTCATTGTTAAAAATTTCTGATTTTGTAAAGAACCAAATTATTTCATGTTTGGAATGGACAAAACATAATTATTAGTCAAAAAATGACTTATAATTTTGGGCAGTTAGAGATGAGAGTTCTTCAGATAACTTGGTCATGATTTACTGAGTTTATGAAGCTGTAATATGCTTCATTGCTACAGTTTTAAGTAGCTGTTGATGAGACTGAGTCTGCAGAAACTCTCTTACTGTTGCTCTTCCACTGTTTGCATGGAAGTTCTCACTTAGAAGATTAGCTGTGATTTTAATATTCAGGGACTGAGGAATAAGAAGGGGTAAATCTGCATCTCTGTGCTTTGAACCCACTGTGTACTCCTTTGGTTGTAGCCTACCACAAGGTTTCTGCAAAAGACAGGAGGCACTGGAGGGAGGAATTTAGTCAGTTTAGTTACCCTGATCAGCAGCTTGGTTTGCCTCTATGAAGGAAAGATTTAACAGTATCTTCAAGACTTGAAAGCCATTTCTGTCTGTGATGCTTAGCTGAGTGCATGAAATGGGGAGTACAGCTGAGGAGCTCTGAATGCTCTGCACACGTTGGTGGACCTTACTTACCAAATGCATAAGGTGAGGTACCAAGTATGTATGAAACAAGAAGACCTTGTTAACACTGTCTTCCTGTGCATTTTTTCTGGTTCTCCTCCCCGTTCCACCAGGGGATTGGGGAGTGAGCGAGTGGC